AATAAGAAACTTTTGTGCTACATTTGTTCCTAACATCATCTGATCCTCAAGAATATGTGATCCAAGTTTAGTGATGATAATGTGAGTGCCGTTACACAACCCCAAAGTTGATAAGTTTTCTATATTTATCTCCTCTTCACTCTTTCACCATATCTTTCACTTATTATACACTATTCATTACCCTAATACTTTTTACTTAAAATTGTGCAAAAACAAACATTTCAATATGAAGCGGTAGCATTATTTTTAAATGCTTTTTCAAATGAGAAATTGTCATAAATAGAAGCAAAAACGTTTTGCAATACAAAAATAAGAGTATTATGGAGTATGTTTTTATTTCTGAAATAGGACTGAGTACTGCTATTATTGAAAAATATCGTCATTAATGATAGTAAATACTATCACATTAATGCCTAGTATTGTAACTATTTTGCAAACAAGTCTAAAAGACTAAAATTGCAGTGAATACTGTCATGTTATTCTTATTTTGTGTAGAAAAACATAGAAATGTATTTTGAAATTCCCCAACATTTTTGCTCATATTTATGAGATTATCCCTTTAATTTTCAAATATATTTTTTCGTACAAATGGCCAATATAAAAAGGTTTATATAGATTATAAACCCCAACAACCAATCTGGAAAATTCAGGCTTCCCCATTGCCATTCACTTGCAAGCACACGAGGCTCTCGCCGCTCACTGAAAATGGTGTATCTGCACTTTTCTATACGAGAGATGACCTCTCTTTTCCATATGAAGTACACTATTCATACATCTGTAAAACTTTCTAACACTAACTCGTTTTCAACGTTTCTCATGATCACACTAGTGTTCACGGAGTATTATACTGACTTTATATATTCATCATCATAGTTATTATTATTACTATTCTGATGATATATTATGATGATTATTGTCATTGTTATTGTTATTGTTATCATCATCATAATCATTTATTGGCTGTATGCATGATACCTTCCAGTGAGTATATAAACGCGATCATCATGCGTTCGGATTATCTAAATCTTAGACCCTTCTGTTGGAGATAATCGTCGTAACCTGCAAAACAATGTTAGAAAAATAAAACAGCCCGAGACGCGCTAGTCGCTGTCCTAAAGAAAGTATTTCCGGTGGCTGGAAATCTTCCCCCAAGATATAACGGGCTCTTCGGCTAAATTGCCGGACACAGAACTACGAGGATAGAAGTATTGATTATGTAACCCAGCAGTTTATTTAGCGTAATATTATATGTATAGTTTAAAGTATTCGGACTTAATTAGATACTCTATCAAGTGTCTTCGATCACGTAAGTCCATTAAATAGAGATGTGAAGCATGTAAATTATTTGATAAAATAAAGTTGTTGGGGATGCTAGGTGATCCACGTACTTAGGAGAGAGTTGTGGGTGGCCAAGCAACACACCCATGCTCCCAAAATACTCGGTCAACACTCAAGCATTTCAACAAACTAAATCTGGCTAAAGTGTTATCCGTACATTATTGTTCTAAATATTAATTAAATAAAAAAAAAACATTTTAAATGAATTTTGTTTATTTGAAATACTTAATAATTTTCCAACAATCCCCCACATATTTCAAATAAACATTTGAACTTAAAAAAATATAATTTTGAAAATCTGCTGGATTAACGGGAACGAGACATTAAGTTTGGTGTCCGAAGACTATGAACCAAACCGAGACGATTAAGTCTTTACAAACCGAGCTTCTGGTGAAACATATAGTTTCTATGAACCAGTAAGCTACTATGGTAAGTCAGGGTCTTAACGGCCATGTCTCACCCCCCACAATTCCTCGCGTTAACGCCGTGGTGCGCCTTTAGGCCGTGCGCGTGCTTGGTATTCTTGAGTGCTCTAGAAGTGTTGTCATGCTTCATGGAGGCGGCCCCACCTCACACTCATATAGGTGACCTCATCAAGTGTGTTCTGCACTTAACACACCAGCCATAAGGCTATGAAAATCATTAAGAGTTTTAACTCACCCTCACAGTGAATGCAGTCTAGCCTCACCCTAGAAATGGACATAATAGACTAGCAGGAACAAATAGAAGACTTGTTATTACCCATATGAACCTGCTTCATGGGATCTCCAATCACACAGGTTGGGTTACCATCCCTATTTGTTATCAAGTGACAGTCCATTTCCCTCGGTGTATAACATATAATATCCTAGGATTTCGGCCAAAGGAGACTATTGACTCCATTCGTCATAGTTATATGACAACTTTATATTTCATACATTTCATATGATATCGTTGCAGTCGACTATACAACAATATCATCTAAAAATTATATCATCATTGTATTACTTTAATACAATGGCTTAGCTCATCAAATACACTTTTTGTGTTTCCACAATTTTGCTCAATCTTCCGACATTCAGCCGGGTTTCACATAGTTTATTTCACCAATTTGAAAATAGAAAATCACTTGTGTGATATTCAACTCAAATGACATCGTTGTATCCCGATAATACAACGGATAACTCTTAATAAAATATATAAGATCATTGTAATACAATGGATAACTCTCATATAACATCATTGTACTGCTCTAGTACAATGGTTATTTCTCAATAAACATATCATCATTGTATCAATTAATTACAACGGATAATCCCAATCAAATTTATTCCATAATTAATGGTATCTCATTTACGTTAGAATGAGTTTAAAATAACCCCACATTTTAAATATATTTATGGAGTATAACATTAAGCTCACCGTACATTAATCAATGTGAACAATAATTTTAGAGGAATAATAACATGCGGCTAACAAGATATGAACGCGGCATATAACTGGGTAAACATTTACACGTATAATAAGCACAATTCAAAATTTTATCAAAACTGACTTCAGGCTTATCCATGCAACCACGTAGCTAGAGTTAATAAAACCTTTTGCATGATCAACTACAAGAGATAATCATTAATTAATTAGGCCAATAAAACTTCGTAACGTGCAAACCCAGAAAGAACCATGCCCTCATACAAAATAGACTAAAGCATACGCAATTTAAAAAACTCAACGCAAGACTCCCGAAAAACGTATAAATGTGCATGCAATAACATCGTACTTAACGAATTAAAAATTATGACCATTCAATAACTTCTAACAAAGTCAATATATTTAACAAACCAATCACCGCACTAAATCGTGCATGAGCAATTTGCTGATTGCGTTACAAGCATGCAGTAGCGTATAATTAGTCTTTAACTAATTCAAATTTCAATTTTTAATAAGAACAAAAAACAGAACTGCACCTTCATGCAAAAAGACAAAACCGATTTGAATTTTCCACTCAGCCATATTACTCTACCAATGGAATTTTCAATTCGGTCATCACAATTATAAATTAGATATTAACACCACAGTAACAAAATCTCACAGAATTTATCAACAAGTAATTTAGACACCATAGGAATTAACACATCAATAGCAACAATAGAATATATTACCACATGTAATTAATACTTCCAAAACATCCCATTAATCATACGAATCAATCAATTAAGTGAGAGCATTATCATACTTTAATACATAAACATTATATTTCACAGAACAAACACTCTTACAATAGCCTTTGCCCAAAAAAAAAACATCTTTAGTCATGACAATTTTGTCATAATCAAAGGATATTTTAACCCCAATTTATATCAAGAGAGAAACGGAAACAAAATTAATTTGTCCGAATCTCATGCACAAAAACATGTCATTTAGTGATAAAGTGTACTCCGATGTGAGTTTAAGAATAACATTTCCTTTACCCTGCACCTTAGCGGTTTTAAGTCCACCAGGTACACAAGGTTTTCATCATCTCCTATAATAGTAATAAGATATATAGGAGGTTAAAGCACTTTTGTTTTTGCAAATGTGCTTGGTAGCCCCGGAGTCTACCATTCATTCATTCACATCATTTATTTTACAACTTTGAGAAACAACTGCTATAAAATCTTCATCACTTTTAATCAATTTTAATTTTGATTTAAGTGGATTATTGTTTCTCATAGTTGTCTTTTTATCACATAAAATGACATAAATTACAACACTTGGGATTAAAACAAGGCTCATTGAGAATAGGGTAACAATTAAAATTATCACAAATTGCCATAAGATAACACATGCAGATTCCCGAAGATATAAAAAAATGCAACTAAAGTAATTGATAGAGATACCAAATTTCATTCGCAGCAGGCATGTGGGCATAGAACGTATAATACAGGGGGCTAGCAGCAAATGACGCGGACGACAACCACCAGAACGGTCAAGAAGTAACGGTACAATTATGCAACGACTTTGCGTCCATCCTCATCATCTCACTTGCAACCTGTTCTGGCCGACGGATATCTGGCACTCTGGCGACTGACTTCTCCGGCAATTAGGGGCGAGCGGCAGTTTCCGACGATATTTACTTTCTTTAGATTGTTGGAGATAATCGTCGTAACCTGCAAAACAATGTTAGAAAAATAAAACAGCCCGAGACGCGCTAGTCGCTGTCCTAAAGAAAGTATTTCCGGTGGCTGGAAATCTTCCCCCAAGATATAACGGGCTCTTCGGCTAAATTGCCGGACACAGAACTACGAGGATAGAAGTATTGATTATGTAACCCAGCAGTTTATTTAGCGTAATATTATATGTATAGTTTAAAGTATTCGGACTTAATTAGATACTCTATCAAGTGTCTTCGATCACGTAAGTCCATTAAATAGAGATGTGAAGCATGTAAATTATTTGATAAAATAAAGTTGTTGGGGATGCTAGGTGATCCACGTACTTAGGAGAGAGTTGTGGGTGGCCAAGCAACACACCCATGCTCCCAAAATACTCGGTCAACACTCAAGCATTTCAACAAACTAAATCTGGCTAAAGTGTTATCCGTACATTATTGTTCTAAATATTAATTAAATAAAAAAAAACATTTTAAATGAATTTTGTTTATTTGAAATACTTAATAATTTTCCAACACCTTCTTCACTCATTCGGTTCCAACCATCGGTTACGAGGTTACAAGGTGCCACTGTTTACAAAGAACTTCTCTTTGGAGTTCCAAATCAATTCTCCAATCCTCACCACTATCAAGGTTACAAGGTACCATTTACCAGAGAAAACCCTGTCTTCTCTCAGTTTTCCGTTCTGTCTATTTTCTTTTGCTTGTAATCACACATGGGTGTGTATTTCTAGTTGCATCTACTTGCATGTCTGGGATGTTTAGGGTTTATTTAAAGTTTGATGGTAACTAAGCCAATTCTGAATCTTTCATTTGTTTTAGATCATAGCGACAGAAAAAGTTCAAGGGTTTTGCTCTGGTATACATATGTGATTTGTGGAAATGTTCTTTATGCTTTAAACTTAGCCTACCGTTTTCTTGCTCTGTCCCAAATAATCAAGTGAATTGATAGGATGCAAATCAACTTTTTTACTAGGAGGGTGTAACAATGGAGAGAGAGACGGAAAGGACAAGCCAGGAAGTGGTTGGAAATCAAGAAATCAAGGAAGTTGATGAGTTTTCTGGGGTGCCGAAAGAAGGCATTACTTCAGAAGAGATGGAATTGGATTTGGGGGGTTCTGGAGAAGTGGAGATGAACAATATGCTGGGAGATGGCAATTCATGGGATGGTGCAAGTAGAAGAAAAAGGGGAAGCTAAAGTTGGCAATTCTACGCCACTAGTTGCCAGTGAGCCCACTCAAGTGGATGCCATATCTGAGGGACAGGAAATTCGACGTCAAAGAAGAACTTTATGGCCCAGAGAATTTTATAATCCGGAACCAAAGAAAATCTTTGAATTTAAAGTGGAATTGGACCAAGCTACTATTTTAGCAGATTTAGACATTTGATCCCGGGGGAAGATTAGAATTATCAATTTTTAATGTTTTTTAAAATGTTCATGCGATGTTATGACCTGACTTAGTGATTATGGATACTCCCTCCGTGCCAAAATAAACTTCATAGTTACTATTCTTATGGCCAGTTTGACATCCTTTTGATCTCCAAATTTATGTCTCAAACCTTTTTCATATTAGGGAGAATTGATCCCCAAAACAAGTCTCATATGAAAGAGAGATTGTTATTAAAATTTTAAAACGTTTATGCTCTTGCTTAGTTCTTGAAGCTTCTTCACACTGTGTTTCGAAAAAGGTTCTTCAGCTTGACCTTTGTGGGCAGTGCATGACTGATTATGTGTGGGATAGAACCTTTGCAAGATCTTCAGTTGGTTTTTCGAATTTGACTATTCTATCGATAAAGGGAGCATGCCGTATAACTGATAGTGCAATAACATCAATTGTAGCTTCAGCACCTTTTTTGCAGTCAATTAATTTAGGACAGTGCTCTCTTCTTACACACAGGTGTATTGCAATTATATCAAATTCACTGGGTGGATTTCTTAAGGAGCTTTACATCAATGAATGCTTAATGATAGATGATATGAGTGTTATCCCTGCTTTAAAGAAATTGAAATGATTGGAAGTGTTGTCAGTTGCTAGAATTCAGAACGTATGTGACCAGTTTGTTTTTAAATCACGGAGGGATTTGGTCATAATCTAAATGAGATTGATTTCTGATATGAAGCGGGAAGAGCATGTGGCGGGACCGGGATTGGGCCCACTTCCGTGGGCCGGTTACGGGCTGTTTATTTATTATTTATTATTATTATTAGTTAATGTTATGTTTTGGTTTGGGCCTTTTATTAGTAGAATAGTTAGTAGAGTAGTATGGGCCTAATTAGGATTTAATTAATTTGGGCTTGATTAGGGTTGCTTGTAGAAGGCTATTTATACCCCTCGCCAGGGTTCATTCTTATCATCTTGGAATGAAAGTTTGGTTTAGCCTTTTGGCTCTGGGCAACGGTATTAATTTATCGTTGCTTATCTGGGCAACGGTTCACCCCGTTGATTTTACTTTTCTGTTCTTATCAATTGGTCCGACCTACCGGATCCCGTCCCGCCAAGATGACAAGATCTCAGAATGATCGATTGACGGAATTGGAGAACGAACAAGGCCGAACAAGGGAGGAGGTGGCTCGACTAGGGGCTGAGCAAACCCGGATGAACCACACGCTCGAAGATCATGGCACGAAGCTGGTGGCGATGAACCAGACGCTCGAAGACCACGGTGCAAAGCTGGTGGAGATCGCTGCATCGCTCGCCGCGCTGACTTAGGCGCTGGTGCCGCCTGTCTCGCCGGAGGCCGCCGCGGCTGGGGTGGGAGTCGCCGTGGCTGTTCCGCACGCGGATAGGGTGCTGCGCGACCCAATGCTGCATGACCCAATGCTGCGCGACCCAGTTCACACGCTACTGCCAGCGTTTGATGGAGGAGACCTGATCAGGTGGATAGCTAGGGTAGAACAACAATTTGAATTAAACGACACCCTACCGGAGAAAAAGGTGGTTGCCGCTGTGGTAGCCATGGACGGCGGAGCTCTCTATTGGGTAACCTGACTGAAATCACGCAAACCCGGTATGACATGGGAGGATTTCAAGCAAGCCTTGGTGGCCAGATTTGATTCTCGATTTCAGGGGAATAAGTATGAACGATTGTCCAGAGTCAAGCAAACAGGGTCTATAGAAGATTACAATACCTTGTTTGTTCAACTAGCAAGCCAAGTTTTAGGGTTACCGGATGAGCACTATTTGGGATACTACATGAGCGGTCTTAAGGAGATAATCCGAAGCTCGCTGCGATTGTTTCGACCAAACAACCTGGAGATGGCTATGGAATTAGCTCGCGAAGTGGAGTTGTTGAGTATGTGGTTTTGTTGATGACTAACCATGCAGGTGGAACAGGGGACAGAACCGACTACGGAGAGTTCTAATATGAACTCTGGACAGAACAGTTCCACGAAACTCTCGGTCCCATAATTAGTCTGCGTGTGCATGTCTTTCAACGTATGATATTTTATATGCATTAATATCTTTCCATAATTGATTGAAATTTTGTGGAATGTAGTGTTACATATGCTTTATGGAAAGTAATCATGAAAGTGGCATAATTTAAATATATTTTCATAAATGATTGGTCTCCCACTTAAGTGAGTTAACCTAAATAATTTAATATTTAATGGAAAGCATCTTTACTACCTTTATAGAAGTTGAACGTAACATGCTTAAATTTGTTAAGTAAATATTTCTTTGACATACGATTTTGAAAAGTCATCCCTAGTTAAAATATTAAATGAATATTTGTTTGGAAAGTATCTTGGCTTGCTATACATGATTGCATGTCTCATAATTGAATATATTTTTGGCACTTGGCCGTTGCATGCCTATATTGGTTAAATATTTTATTTGAGAATAATTTATACCAATTTGAATAGGGATCCTTGTTTGAAATATAATCCACATAAGATTCGTTGCATGCTCATATAAGAGAATAAATCATTTCCATGTTAATTGCTATTAAATGATTGATCACATAATATATTCTATTCCTTTCTTCTTACTTGCTCATGATATGAACGTATCCTCCTGCTCCCACATATTTATGGTTGACCAAGGATCATCATAATGAAGAGCTAGAAGATCCTTAAATAAAAGGAAAGTATTTCAAATAATATCAAGGCAAGTTCCTCAAACATCAAAAGAAAGAAGAGTCTCAACGGATCCATTCCTAGCAGTCTATATAATCGAGATCGAGAAGAAGAAGAATGTGAGCTGAACCGAGAAAAATACTTAGAAGAATCATTCAAGAAAAGGATCAAGTCCTTGGCGCCTGAAACTGCCCGCTCGGAGTTCTAGATAGAGTTTCTCTTTTCCCTTTCATATTGTACTTGGATTATTGAGGCTTAATTGGCTAGAGTAGCTGCCTCGGGTTAAGTGTGTGTGAGAGCTTTGCGACAAAGCTGAGAGGCTCTCTACCCGCAAGGTAGAGATGCATAACTCTTCCTAGAGAGGATAGAGTTGGGGAGGCTCAAGGGTAGATTAGGAGAATCACTCTTGTAACTCTTTCAAAGGCTTGTTTAGTGAAGTTGTTTAAAATTCCTCCGAGGGAGGTCGAGGTTTTTTTAATCCCTTTGAGCCAAGGGATTTTTCCTCGTTAAATTCTTGTGCACTTTACTATTTTGCAATTCCCTTTATCCCACACTAGAACTCGGCGAAAAACTGCCACGGTTCCACACACACACAATTCACCCCCCCTCTTGTGTTGCTAACCGTTTTCATCAATTGGTATCAGAGCCGGTCTTCACCACATAAAGGCTAATACCTTGGGAAGAGATCCGGCAAAATGAATACGGTTGACCGATTGGAAGAAGGGTACTCGACTCAACGACCACCATTGTTCAATGGCAAATACTATCAATTTTGGAAGAGTCGGATGGAAAACTTTATCAAGGCCGATAACTACCAGGTTTGGATTGTAATTGAAAGTGGTGATAATGTCATCACAAAGAGAAACGCCGAAGGTAATGTTGTTCCTAAACCTAAAGTTGAATATACTTCTGAAGATTATGAGAAACTCGAGCATAATGCCCAAGCCCTTAAATATTTAATTTGTGGTCTTGGTCCTGCCGAACACAATCGGGTTCTAGGATGCAAGACTGCAAAACAAATGTGGGATTTGCTCGAGGTCACTCATGAGGGAACCTCACGTGTAAAAAAATCTAAGATTGACATATTCATGCGTAATTACGAATTATTCGTTATGAAGCCAAAAGAGTCAATTAAGGATATGATTACACGCTTTACTAACATTATCAATGAGCTTTCAGCCCTTGGAAGAGAAATTACCGTGGAAGATCAAGTGAGAAAGATTTTGAGAAGCCTGCCCCAAGAGTGGAAGCCTAAGACCACGGCTATTGAAGAAGCAAAGGATCTATCCACCATGACGCTTGAAGACTTGACTGGATCACTCTTGACATATGAACTAGGTCTTCAAGAAGAACAAGATGCCGAGAGTGCTAGACGAGAAAGAGGAATAGCTCTAAAGGCTCGAGAAGAAGAAGAGGAATCCGAGAGTGAATCGGATGATGAGATGAGCATGTTTGCAAAACAATTTGGGAGGATGTACCGAAAATTCAAGAACAACCGTACCAAACAAGGTAAAAGGAATACTCAATCCTTTAATAACCAAGGTTGTTTTGTTTGTGGTTCCTTTGAGCACAGGGCTAAAGACCGTTCACAAAAGAAAAATGACCGGAACTGCGACAAGAACAAGTCCAGTTCCAACCGGAGGTTCAGCGAAGACAAAGGGTTCAAGAGAGATCTCAAAAAGGCCATGATGGCAGCATGGGGAGATTCTTCTGATGATGATGAAGAGGAAAATGATAAGAACACCAACCATGCGGGTCTATGCCTTATGGCTCATTCTGACGAGGAATCCGACCAAGAGAGCTTTGAGGTAAACCTTGAAAATTTTCTATCTAAGTTTGACTCTCTATCCAAAACCAAAGCTCGGAAAATTTTCAAAAGATTGACTATTGAGCTTAATCAAAACCTTTCTGAAAATGATCATCTTAAATCACAAATCACTGAGCTTGAGTCTAAACTCGAGGAAGCCACGAAAGCCAAGATAAGGCTTGAAACAAAAGTGGGAGAGTTAATAGATGAAAGGCTTAAGTATAGTGAAGTGGTTTTAGAACAAGATCAAATCATTTGCTCTCTTAAGCTCGATAGTATGAACAAACAAGTTAATCA